TTTTACTTTATATATATACACAATTAACACAAAAATTAAATTAATAATATTGTCGCGATATTATTCAAGTGAAATTAAATTTGAATAAATAATTTTTGAATTTGAATAATATAGAAATTTATTGTGGCAGTGATTATTTATTGAAAGTGTTTTATTTGTAAAATGCGGTTTCTTACAAATGCAATGACAAACAAATATGCAATTAATAAAAACCAGATTTGCGCGTTCCAATAAAAGTTTTGAAGTGTAGCTATTCGGTGATTTTATTAAATCAGAAGAAATTATTGAAAATGAAAATTTTAGTTGGAATGAAAATTGAAAAACAGAGCTGTAAGATAAAAAGTATTTTGAGTTTGAAAAAAAAATCGCATAGAAAAATAGTTAGTTCTTAACAAAACCGATGCAATAACAGATTTTGAAGATTTATGCTATAGCATTTTAAGTGCCTGAGTGGAAATCCACATAATTTTAATAATAGGCTCACAATTTCCATCATATTAACAACAGGTTGTAAATACCAGAGTTATTCTTTGTAAATTTTAATTTAAATCTCGAAAAATATGCAATTTTTTCAATACTGTTTATTAGTTACAATTGGTTTTCACGTTTCTTACTTAGATCTGCAAATGTAGTGCTTGTTTGCGGCAAAACTGTGATCTTAGAACGCCCTTTATGATCAGTATGAAAACTAATGCTACCAATAATCAGAAACTGACATAAAATAAAAATTTAATATTATATAAATATAACAAATAATAAAATTATAAATATAAAGTGAAAATGGAAGAGTCAATGTAAGTTAATATTTCATTTCTTCCAAATAAATTTTTCGAGGCATTGTTTAGTTTCAAAAATCAATTGTAATTTATGCAATTGTGTCTCAACTGTTATAGATCTGTTTTCTTCAGCTCTTTAATTTACTATTTTAGAATAGCGCTGCCAGAAGTAGAATTAAGTTTTAAAATCTACTCACATGAATTCAACCATATTCTGCATTGTCATTCATCTTTATACCTACATACATACATCATTATATAGATCAATATTTAAAAGGTATAAAAATATTATAGTTACAAATTTAAAATAATTGATGCATTACTTATATTTTTATAATGAATCTGCATTAATTATACAAGAAAAAGGTTAATTTTCAAAAAGATCAGATAGGTTAATTTTGTTTAATGATCCAAATTTAAGTACTAATTTTGTATTACATAAAATAAATAAAAACAGGTCTTTAAGATTTTTTACATTATTTTTTAAAATGGAAACTGGAAAATTATGAGAAAAATTAAAACGTCACTAATGAATATGCAAAAACCATTTTAAATTTCTAAAAAAAAAAAGTTAAACAAATAGAAAATTTATAGAAAACTATTGTGTTCTCTGAATTTGAATATTTTAATGATTATGAAATAATAAAAATGCAATCGTACGACATATTACGATATATAATTGCTATATTCGATTAATTTATTGGGTTTAGAGGTGGTGATTTATTAAAAATTAATCATTTCTAGACCCAATAAATTAAGCAAATATTTTAATTCTTTTAATAATTAAGAAATTTTTTTAATAAATCTTTATTTTCAAATTAATCAGGTAATATGCAAGCATAATTATTTTAACTGCGTTAATTATCGAAAAATTACTTAATTTATTTGAAAATAAAGAAGTTGGACTAAATAAACAAATTATACAATACTAATTTTACATTTTTAGGATCTGAAATGTACAAAATGTGTAGACTTTGAATATAGCTCGCTAATTCTGTTGTTTTCATAATAATTACTATTGCTTAAGTCTGAATTGTTCTACTCTTTCTGAATCTGACAAAAAAAAAACATAATGTAAAGACCAGTAGACTCGAGCTTACATTATGGTGTTTTTGAAAATGGACTGCATAAGCTTAAAACTGCAAAGTCTTTAAAGCTTCTTTTATAAATTAAACAAATAACTTCCAAAGCTTTGCAGTTCTAACCTTAAAAATTACATTTTCAAAAATAGCCCTAATTTTACAATATCCGAATGGGGAGGGTTCATTCAAATGTCAAATGAATTAGTATAAGTTCAATAAAAAATAATTTAATTAAATACAATTAATTTTTTGTTCGCCAAAAGGACATTTTTGTAAATTTTATTTTTTAACTTATTGTCATTCCTTTTCAAAAAATACAATTTTTTTTTTTTTCCATAAATTACATTAGTTCTCATATTATAATATTATACTTAAAACAATTTTTTATTTTAAATTGATATTTTTTGTTTTTTCTTATTAATATTTTTCCTTTAATTTTAAATATAGTGTGTAGGTACTGTTAGTGTAAAATTAAACAAAAATAAATGAAAGAAAAGTAATTAAAAAATTATTTAAAATTTTGAAAGTAATTGAGAATATTTAATATTACGTTATTTATAGAAAGTAACGAATTGTAACGAATTCATCAAAAATAATGAAAAATTGGAATTATATTTTTAATTAAATTTTTTACATATTTATTGTATTTTAGTGTGTTAATTTGAGTTTTAAAATTGGATTTATATATCGATTACCCATACTTTTCTTTCTGTTTATACAAATTTTTCTTTCGATTACAAAATTAAAGTACTTTTGGACTTGATCTAGTATTTATTTAAAAATAAAATTATAAGAGATTTTTGAATAATCGTTTGTAAAATTTAATTCTGAACCAAAAAAAAAAAAAGGAATCATTCTCATACGAGTATATTGCAATAATTATTTTCAAAAAAATAATCATAATCATAAAAGCAGTTGTACTCATAATAGTAATCATAATTATATAATCAATCATGATGATAAATGTAATTATAGTTATAAAAGTAATCATAATCATAAAAGTAATTGTACCTTTAAAAGTAATCATACTCATTAAACTAATATTATATTCTTGAAAGTAATCATATTCATTAAAATTAATGATATTCATAAAAGTAATTATGCTTACAACAACAGTAATAATCTTGATAAATATAATTATTACAAAAGTAGAGTCGCACTCATAAAAGTAATCATGTTCATAAAAGTAATCATACTCATTAAAATAGTTCATATTTTAAAAAATCTCAATAAACTTTATGAAATTAAAAATATTTTTTCTTTTGTTTCATTCTACTGGATCAGAATAATTTATTTCTATTCGAAAAAAAATAGACTCAAATAAAATTAATAAAATTTCTATAAAGTAATTAAGAAAAAAAAAACAAGTACTTATAACACCTACCGCTTCCACCATATATGAAATATATAAAAGAAAAAGGTATAAAAAAAGACAAGTCGTTAAATTAGAAAAAAACAAAATTTAAAAAATATTTAAGAGCGCCCTAAAGTAAATAATCAATAATAATTATATAATTTTTAGAAATCTAAACTAAATTTAACTATATAAAAGTAGAATTTATATATGTATATAAGAATATTTTCAATAATAATAAAATTATTAATAAAAATTTAATTTAATAATAATAATAATAGTAAAATGAAAAAAAAAAAATTTATTTTAACTAACAAAATTTTAAAAAATTATTTTGTTTTTTTTTTTTTAATATTTACAACCATTTTATAGCTATTTTAATTTTTTTCTGTATATAATATAATATAAATATGAGAATTAATAAAATATACAATTTAATTATTATATACAATTACAATATACAAATATATATAAAGTGCAGATTATTGTTTAAAATTTATGAAATATTAATGTTTCTAATGTTATACTTCGGGCAGTATGTAAAATTTTATTTAATTTAACATATACGATATAGTTGAATTATTCAGGATAAGAGGTACATGGATTAGAAAGAAACCTTTAAAAAAAGAAATTAGTATGCTTTTACTTTTGTTGGGCGGCATTTAAACCGATAGAGATAGTTAATGTGCACACTGAATGGCTGAAATACCTCTATTAGTGTGACTGTTCAATTAATAATTTGATTTTTTTAAATACTACTTATAAAATGTGAATTTTTAATTTAATTCTTGGATCCATTAAAGGACAATATTACAATACAATATTGATATACACCACTACGGATTCATTATTTGATTTTAAGATCATTAAACTTTTTGAAATAATTATTAATGGCTTATAAATTGATTTATATTTATAATTTTGAATTTTATATTTTATTTTATAATATAAATTTATTTTTAAGGTTTGTATATAAAGATGAAGCAAACTTTTCTATAATCAAGTCTGCTATCTACACACAGTTAGACTAAGAGTCTTTTACTTAGTTAAAAAAAAATTTTATATTTCATAAATTTTTTCGATCTTATTGTTTGCACATGTAAATATATATTTTTTGTTTTATTTTATTTTCTTTATTAATTAATTATTATTATATAATATCGTATTTAATTATACAATTATTTTTAAATCAACTAATTTCTAATATAACATACTTTTGTTTTTTTTCGATTTTTAATTTTACTTTAATTTTTTTTTTTTTGGAATTATATTCTCTATACTTTTATATAATAATTATAAATATTGAAAATTTATTTATTTATATAAAAAGTATCAAAAATCTTATTTTATATAACATTAATGTAAAAATAATTTTTTTATGTATTTTATACGTTACAAAAATATTACAAGTGGACGGTAATATAAAAAATATGAAATTGAAATTAAAAATTTACATTTTATCTTCTATTTTGCTCTTTTTTTTTTAATAAAATTATAGAAATTTAAATATTATTGTTGTTCTATAGTATAGATTTTAATAGAAAAAAAAAATTTAAGGTAATATTTGAGTTTTTATATTGTGTTTTAACAATAAATTTTAAATTTATTATTATTTTTTTTTTATTTATTTATAATTTAATTTTGGAATAAACTAAATTTTTTTATTTATTTATTTTTATACAATTTTACAATACAAATTGTTGAAAAATTTCCCTTTTAACTTAATTAAAATTCGAATATTCGAAAATTATTCTTTGTATCAAAAGAGTAGAATAAGAGAAGAGAACGAAATTTTATTTAAGGAGAATAAGTTGAATTAATAATTAAATTATTATGTTAAAAAAGAGTTACAGGAATGGTGAGATTTAAAATGAGAGTATACGTAATTGTTTATTTTATAAATAATGTTTTGATACTCGAAATTGAAATAGAGAATCACAAATTAAAAATAATGTCTATTTTGAGTTTAAATCTTAAAAGCATTTGTCACATTTGATTTTTGTAATGAGTGAAAATTTTGACAATAATTGTCATTTTTAATTTAAACAGAATTATTTAATAAATTTTAAAAGATCTATAAAATAATTGGAATTTCAAGTGAAATTAATTAAGTTAATAGGTAAATAATTCCATATTTCTACATGTTTTTTTGTTTCTTTTTTAAATTTCTTAAAATTTAATATAAAATTTTTATGTTTTACTTTTCTCATAATTTACTTTTTATATTTTTTTTTTTCATATTGCATATTGTGTATAATTAATTTGTATAATTTTTTTCCCTAAAAACAAAAAAAAAAAAAAACATCTTATTGTTTATTTTCTTTTGCTTTCTTTTTAGCCAAATCTACTTGTGCTGTTGCTAAATAATTTGAACCTTCTAAATGTAATGTACTTTGCCTATGTGAACTTCTTATTAAACAGAATACAGCAATCATTAATAAAAGACCACCTAATACAAATAGACCGATCATTAAACCAATACGTGCTTTTGGTGGTATATTTGCAGCTAAATTCATTAAATTTGTCACTTCATCTGGTAATCCATCAATACCTTCACTAAACCACATAATTGGAAATACAATATCTGGGAAATTTGCAACTTGTTTAATATCAACAACTTGTGATACAGCCAAATTAATTTGAACACCAACACGTGCACTTAATGTTGTTCCCATATCCTATAATAGAAAAAAATTGATTTTTTTATTAAATTTAAGATTTAAATTAAAACTAAATTTAATATGCATTAGATTATTTCAATTGTAAAATTCAATTGCATTCATTTTCCGAATTTTAATTTTTATACTCTAAATTTATTAAATATGTTCACCTTTCTTTTAAATTAATTTTAAAATGAAAACAAAAGTGAAAATTAAATTATAATTAAATCAGTAGATTCATTTTAGAATTAAAATCCCCAAGAATGTGAATATTATTAGAATTATTTAAAAAATTTGCATATGATACACAAATAACAATAAAAAGCTGACTTGAAAAGTCACGAATTTTTTTAATTTCCATTCAATTCATAACAATAAATATTATCAGTTAAATTGTCAGAAATATTAAATTCATGTTATTTTAAAAATTTTTCTTATTTTATTTGTTGACAATTATATATTATGCTTTTTGTTGATCTTTGCATAAGTATATATAAGTTAATAAATAAAAATTGTATAACTAAACTATTTGATATGACAGATCTATGATAATAGCACATACAACTTCTCGGTACGCACGTTTTATTTAAAATCAACACGTGATAATATAAAATTTAGCACCTAATATATAAAAGCTTTCTTTTATTAAATTCTTATTGTAAGATCGTCTGATTTGATTGCTCATCACTTTGTTTAATAGCGCTTTTTTTCTTGACTAGGTATTAAATTAATGATTTTAAATTCATTATACATTATTAAAAATGTATAGCTTCTTACCGGTTGTACATCCAGATAAAATTGATGTTTTTCTTTTTCAGGTGGTGAAATACCTTCAACAGCTGTTCTAAATGTATCATCGGCAAGATAGAAATGTGGAAAACTTAACATAATTGGTGAGTCTAAAAAAAAAAAAATAGATTATTATTAATATTTGTAAAAAAAAATTAATAATTTTTTTTCTAAATTACCATATTGGCATAATGAAACATTAAATAATCCTTTTGGTGCACATGATGGCGGTCCAGCTGGACAGAAACATGAATTTTCCATATTACTTTCAACATCATCGAATACATTTTCTGGTGGTGTAAATCTATAACCTTTAACACCATTTTTAGTTATAATTTCTTTTTCGAATACCAATGGTAAAAGTCTACATAAATCTTTATCATAAACATGTAATTTTGTATCGGTAGTCATATGTGGTGGGAAAATTGAACCATCTGAACCATTTAAACGATTACATTCTTCAGTTAACCAATGTGGTAAATGTGTTTTACCATTAAATCTATCGATTAAACCATATTTTGTAATATCTTGTGTACCAGAAAATATTGTTACACGATCCTAAAATATTTTATAAAAAAAATTTATTTCTTGCTTTAAGAATAATAATTATTTTCGTTTTTTTTTTTTTTTACCTTTGAAGTACCATTTTTACCATACATAAGACCAAATTCTTCATATGGTAATTTTTGTTCTTTTGGTACAACATCTTTTGCTAATTTTAATAATGGATCTTCATAACCCCATAATAATTGTCCAACAGAAACTTCAACAAATGGTTTTATTTTTAAAATATCCATAATACTAGCCATAGCTAATCTTAAGAATCTTAAAATAAAAATTTAAATAAATATTAAATAAAATATCAATTGAGTAAAATTTGAATATTGATAAAAAAAAAGTTACCTAGCAGCATTTTTACTTTGGGATGTTGCACTTAACATTGGAATATTTGGAACAATTACAACATCATCTTCAAGGCCATTTGATAAATCCTCACGGAAAACAAAAGTTTTTTTCATACTGAATGTTATTGTACCATTATCATTTTCAACAATATTTTCTCTTTCCCATGTTTCACTGAAAAAATGAAATAGATTTTAATTAATTAAAAAATATTGCACACTTTCGGGCGATATTTTTAATATATACTAGATTCAAGTTTTTAAATATTTCTCAAAATTAATTTATTCTCGAATAATATTGCACTGTATTTAGTACTATATTATTAAAGGTACTATTGCAGACTATTTCATTCTAATTCGCTTTATAAAATTATTACAATTTGCCCTAAATTCTATCCTATCAATATGCATTATTATTTCGCTAAAAAAAAGTTTCACAGTAAAAATAACTTCTTTCAAAAGTTGCATACTTTCAGGATTAGAACAGGCTCATTTATGTAGAAAAATGTTGCATACAACAACAAAATTGAAAAAGTAGAAAGCAATTGGGCAAAAAATTAATGATTTTAAAAATGTAAATTTACAATAACGGTATGTAGATAACAGTTATAAATTAAAGCACCTTTACAATAATACCGAATTTATCATTGTTAAAGAGTACGCTCGAATTATAAAATGTAAACCTAGCTTGCGTGGGAAATTAATTTGCGCGTGATATTTGAATAATAACACAAAATGGATTAATAACACACTAATCTAATGAATAATAAATGCAAAAATATATTGAATAACAAAAATATTTTTTTGATAAATAAAAATATTTACTTATTTACTTAAAGTGAAGTTGAAGATTATATCAAAAACCTGTTTTTTTTTTATAATTCAATTATATAACCTTGAATATAACATTTTTATATAATTTGTTGCTTTTGAAATGAAGTTTTTTTTTATTAATTGAATATACGAGTATATTAACATTTATCATTAATTTAAAAATTTCAAAGAAATACGGCTGAAAACTTGTTAGAATGTAAACAACAAATTAAATACAAATTTTATTAGAAGATTTTAAATTTTATATATAAAAATTGATTATAAATTTGTGATGCGTAGATGTGCTTCCTAAATGCGTATTATTAGTCTTAAATTTAATGGAATGGAGAAGCTCATACGCATTATATTTTTAACTAATCCGATTTAATATACATGAAAACGTCATGCAAATATTATTCTTATTGCGTATATGGTACATATATTTCTAAAATTTTTGGAAAATTAAAATTTTAGAATATGAGAAATTCTACCACATTATACATATATTTTAAAAGAACATCACAGTATTACCATTAATTAACATTAAAAATTAAAATATCGTCACTGTAATTAATTCTTCTCTTCTCATCCGAACAGATAAACAAATAAGCTCATAACATTTTTATTGAGCAACATTTCATTTGATTTTTCTCTCAAAATTTTCACATAAATAATTTCGTATATATAAAAAAATTCCACATGAGACTCTATGAAAAATTATAAACACATTTTTTTCGCAATTCTGTTTGAACTCGTTTTCCATAAGTATGTAATTATGTTTGTATTTTTTATGATTTTCACATGCATACCATAGCCTACATATAAGATAGTAGAATGCATTATAGCTGCAATAGTTTCTAATAAAAATATTATAGAAGCAAGAAGCTTTTAAAATTTAAAAAAAAATTTTTATTTTTTTAGAAAAATTTTTTTTTTATTCTTTTAAAATTTTTTTTTTTTTACACTTAATAGAATAACACACAAATAAACAAATGCTGCTAATATTCAAACATAAAATTAACTATACAAATTGCACATATACACACACACACACTTGATAATATTGAATATTGCAATAAAATTGTATGAAAGCATTAAAAAGCATTATGTTTCATTTTTATTGCAACATTTATGCAATCAACAAAAATAAAAAGGAAAACTTGTTGGGAATAAAAATAATAAAAAAACAACAAAAAATAAAACAACATTAAAAAAGAGTGGTAAATTGGAAATAAAAAAAAATAGATTTTAGAAAAAAGTAACTTGCATGCATGTACATATATACGAGTACAACAATTTGTGTTGTGTCAATTGTTGTGATTTTTAAAGCTAAATTTGTGGTTGTATTTTTTTGTTTATTTTTTCTCTATAATTTTTTGATTTGTGTGAATGTGGTTTTATGTAAATTTTTTTAGTAAGAATTTAATTGCAGCTGCTGCTTATTTTTTTCTTAATTCTGTATTGATACAGGAAGAATGTAAGAAAAACCTCTTGGAGCAAGATCGTCTAAGACTAGCGGGTATTTTGTAATTTGATAGTAAATACAACAGGTATATACAAAATAAATACTAAAATAAATTTTGTAATTTTTTTTATTTTTTCGATTCTTAAGAGGGAAAAAAACACTGCTGAAAAGTTTTTAAAGCAAAATACATAAATTAAAAAAAAAATAAGAAAAAATAAGGAGGAAAGATAAACATTAGACTTTGTGATAGTTTAGATTTTTTAAAAGTTTGATTTTGTGGTATAATAGGACGAAGATTTGGAGTGCAAAATTAATAAGAAATATAAAAATTGGATAAAAATAAAAGTGTCGCTAAATTTTTTAATAAATTTCTCTTACTATAAAGCAAATATTTTAAGATTCTTAATAATGAATGAAAATATTTTTTGACAAAGTAGCAAAGTTATGAAATTAAATCTTGTTTTCCATATTTACTTATATAAGGTATATGTAAAGGTGGGTATGCAAATTAAGCCTCAATTTTATAATTATTAAATTGTAATTGTTATTGAATCCAAATTAATTTCCTATAATTTTATAATTTAAAAATGCTGACTCTATTGAATTGTCTAAGTTACTAAATAATTTCAATTAAATTGCTGCGTTCCTTTCTATAAGAAAATTCATAATTTTAATCAAAATTAAAAATTTACGATTATTAAACAAACAAACAATTTGTCTTAATTTTAATATAGCTGCGTTCCAATAGTATGAGTACAAGGATTCAAGGTTATTTAAAATAAAGTACAAGTTTATGACCAATACATGACAGCACACTATTACACACATGTATATAGATAGCAACTTATCAACAGAATTACAAACGTATCGTAAGAAATTTTATTACTTGTTTATTAAAATTTAATTTGTACCTGTACCATGTAGAGATAAAATCAAAATAGTAAAAAAAAAAAAATAGGTATACAAAATATTTTCAAAAAATAAAAAATTTTTTTTTCGTAATCTATTTTTGTTTGTAAATTTTATTCACTTGATTTTTGCAAAATTAATAATACCGTAGTATAGAATTCGCTGCATATACGTGTATATTCACTAACATTACATGCATTCTGTATGCATAATTATATTATACGGTTATTACCTATGTTTTATATATGTTTTTAAAGGAAAAGAAAAAAAATTCAACATTCTGTTTCAAATTACAGGTCAAACCTGTTTAATGTTTTTTTTTTTTTGTTATTTTCCAATGAGAAATTATGGTATTGAGATTTTTTCTCTTCTTATTTAATATTTTATTTATTCTTTTTCTAAAATCTTATGCTAAATTTTATAAACACTAATGAGACTATAATATAGAAGATTTTTTTACATATTTATAATAATAGCCTTAAACTAGTTTTATATTGTATGTATGTAATTATTAAGATTAAAGTGGATTATAACGAAATGTTAATTTTTGTTTTGGAATTAACTAGAATATTTTATGAATTGTTCAAATAAAAAAAAAAATATTGCATTCTAATTGTAATAACTACCTGCCGATTTGTATGAAATTTAATTCTCTGTACATTATGCTTAAGGAATTTATTGGATTTATGCAGATATTGTACACAAGCAGCAGATTTCATAGTTCATTAAAAAATATTTAATAAAGAATACAAGTGTAAATGCAAGAGAGCGTATAATTTGAGCGTATATATACGATAATAAAAATGTATTTAATGTTAAATTGGTGAAGAATTTAATTTACCAGATTTTATGAGATTAAAAAATATTATTGAGAATTTTTAAGAGAATTTCCTTTTTGGTTATTGTAAATTGAGAAAAAAATAATATCATTTGAATTATAATATGTTGGAATTGTATAGTGGGGAAAAAATTCTTGTATACGATATATAAACATTAAAAATGATTACCATCTTAACAGCGTATATGATTGCCATACCATAATTTTTAATCAAACGAATTAAAATATTAAAATTTTATAGTAATAAAAAATAAAAATAGTTTGAATTAATAATTATTTTTAATGATTTTAGTAAATTTTTCGATTGAAAATTCTTTTTGTTAATGACTTGTTTTTTAAAATTGAATTACTATGAGGTAAAATATTCAAATGAAATGAACGCAGGAGTAAATAGGATAATAAAAAGGTCAAATTAAATTTGTAATCATATTTAGATGTAAATACTAGAATATGGGTATATAGAAATTAATAAAGACTAATTTATAAAGAAATGTGCACGCATATACTCAAGTATAACAGTAACAGTGACAGTTTCCGAAATAAACTTACATAATCAGATAAAGGCGAAAATTTTAAATCCCTAAGAGTTACGAGTACAAGTAATTGGAACATTTTAAGAAATAACATTAATTGCTATTTTAATTTATTGTGGTTTTTGCAACAGTAAACATTTTTAGACTTCAACTAAGTTGTTCATTTTTAATTATACTTTTTGATAGAACATATGAAAATTATCAAACGTCAATATGCAGATAAGATAAAGAGATTTTCAATACAGTAAAATTCTGCTTAAGACTCATTAAATTTCTGGAATTCTTTTGAAATTCATAAAAATAATTATTGAAATCCGGGTACTAGTAAAATCACTATCGATCCTTCAAAGTATTCTTAAATCAATAGTAAAGAAACAAACTAACCAATAATCAATATTAATTTAGTCTCAATTCGATTTTCTTTAAATGTAAAATTGGAGTACACGGTAAATAAATTTTCAATAGACAAAAAATATTAAAATAAGTGAAAATATTTCATTCATAAAAATTGCTAAAATTCGTTAGAGCAAAAAAAAAAAAACAATATAAAATATTCGTGCCCATATTACAATTTTGTAAAACTATAAAAAAAAAAGTCATAAAGCTTTCACATATTT